CGGCCTGGGACCCACCCACCCCGGGTGGGGTGACACATAGGATGTGTTGGCCGGTCCCACCAGCCAACCGCCAGGTCCCCCGTGGGAGGGCCTGATGTGGGTGGGGCAGGTGCCCGATCACCGCGGTCCCACCCGCCAGCCCCTGGTCACCCGCGGGAGGCCCGGATGAAGGCGGGGACCTCTGCCGCCAGTCCCTGATAGAGGCAAGCTGGCGTTGGCACTGTCCCGCCCTGCCCGCAGTATGCAAATTTGCCGCCATCTTGGCTGGTGGTTAATTTGCATATCGCCCTGATTAGCCAATGAAAAGAGTAGCGGTCGTACGCCAATTACCATGTTTCTCTTTTATTAGATAGGATGTGTGTTTAGAAATTTCAGCTACCAATTAAAAGCGCATTTTTTAAAGCAGGTATAAAGCCAGTGGGAGGAGGGGCATGGAAGGAAAGTGGGGTAGCCCTGGAGGGGAAAACGTAGGATCTTAGAGAGGAGAGGGGAGAGGGGAGAGAGGAGAGAGGAGGAGCAGGCGGGAGGAGAGGGTCTTGAAGGGGAGAGGGGGTGCCAGGGATGAGAGACTAGGGATGGCAGGGGAGACAAACCAGCAGTTTTTCTTCCCTGCGAAGCTGTGAAGATAAACTTCGCTCCTATCTTTAAGTTGCGCCGAAAATTAAATTTGTTTTCTTTGCTCTTATTAGACATCCTGGGAGTCTCTGAGGGGCGGCCACCTCGGACCCCCCGGGAAGCCCACCACTGAAGGGCGCCTCACCTCGGAGCTGCTGGGACCCTCTTTCAGGAGGTGGAGGTGGGGGACAGCACCAGGAAAGGAAGAGAGAAGAAACGCTCAAATGATGGGAACGTGATTCAGAGCATCCCTATCTTAAATACTGGGTAGTTTGCTACTTATTATGGTTTCTGTTTGTTTATTGATGCCTGGAGGAATAGACTATGACAAGAATGTTCAAAGGCCCGGGAGGGAGGGCCGGCCCTGCTCTGAGGAGCAGCTGGGTGTCCGGGGGAGGAGGGGTGTCTTGCCCTGACCCCCTTTCTTTCCTGCCTCCCTGCACACGGGGAGGGAGAGCTCTATCTTAAATACTGGGTAGTTTGCTACTTATTATGGTTTCTGTTTGTTTATTGATGCCTGGAGGAATAGACTATGACAAGAATGTTCAAAGGCCCGGGAGGGAGGGCCGGCCCTGCTCTGAGGAGCAGCTGGGTGTCCGGGGGGAGGAGGGGTGTCTTGCCCTGACCCCCTTTCTTTCCTGCCTCCCTGCACACGGGGAGGGAGAGCTTGGTTTTCACATCCCAGAATCTTCCAGAAACCAACGTCATGGTTTTCTTTTGTTGCTCCGCAGTGATGTTTACCTGAACCACTGAATGACACCTCTGACCTCTTCGTGTTAAGAGACCTCTCTGGCCCTTTTCACTTTATCCAGCAGTTGTTCATGCACACAGTGGGTGTTTATAATGAACGAGGTCTCTTCATTGGGGTGCTCAGACGGCCTTCCTGAATGGTAATCCGGCACCCAGAGTTTCCAGCTTTGACATGGGTGTGTGATCTCTCAAGATGGACTCGGGCCTGCTTTAAAGTAAGAAGTTAACCCACAGTAGGTGAGGAGGTCGCCCTGGACTTCCCAAGATGTGTGAGTTCTGCCCTAACTGTGTCACTACCTCAGCTCAATTCTAAGGAAAAAGAACCGAAAGAGATTTCCTACTTTGTTGACTATTACAGTTGGAGAGTAGACGCCAAGTGCTTCTCCTGCGTGGTTGGTTGGCTCTGCGTTTATTGATATTACTCCGAAGCCTGTCTAGCAGCTGGTACGCCCACCGTTACCTAATCCAGCCTTATGTGATAAGTTTGGCTCCTCTAAGTGCCACAGAGATAATTCGTACCCGAAAAGTACATCAACAGCCTGGTTCTTTTGCCTAAAATGATCTTGTTATCACTCTGATTTCAACCAATAGGTTGGAAAGGAGTGTCTGTTTTCCACGTGCCAGCTAGCCTCTGGCAAAGGCTGTTGGATCGTTACACTTCGGACTTTGGTGTGAACACAGAGAGCATGTACCTTTACCTACCAGGTGGTTCAGCATTGCTCATGGACTTGGCCACAGGGGCGGGAGGCTGGGGACACATGCACGGGAGAGTTCTTCAAATCAGTAGGAATGGTCATAAGAAGAGGCAGGGTGCCAGCATGGGCATTGGACTCTCAGGTAAAGTGTACCAAGTGTCCCAGAACTCTCTGGAACTTTATCATTATAACCTCTACCTTGTCCTGTTTATCTATGAAGTAGCATTGGGCAAATAAATAGATAAATATGTAATAAAAGTTTGTTGCATTTCGCTTGATTACATGGAGTCTGAAAACAAGCATCTTGGGGTAAAAAACCTGAAATTGTGTACTCCAGCCCATTACTGGCAGTTAATTTGGGGGCTGGGGTGCTGCAGGGGACAATGCAAAGGACTCTGCTTTATTCCTTTCAACAGTACACGCAGTGTGTGCAATAGAAAAGCTGATCTACATTTTTGTTGTTGGGAAAAAAAATCTTGGAGGATAAAAAATCTGAAATAAATTCTGCGGGTCTATGGACTGTGCTCCGTCTGTCTCTGTATTCCAAGCTCCTAGCTGCCATGCAGCCCGAGGAGGCAGCATGCCATGGTGTAAGAGTGTGCCCAGCTTCCCAGCTGTGTAGCTTTCGATGGGTTATTCACCCTCTCTGAGTCTCCATTTTTCCATCTGTAATGTGGGTCTAATCATAGTACTTCCTAATTTTATTATGTGAAGAAGAAATGAAACAATCCACTGCAATAGCTTAAAAATCGCACAGTGCTTGGGATATAGTGGATGGAAAATAAATGCTAGCTGTTTTATGATTACTCTCAGTTATGCAACAGTTGCTGCTAGTTATAATAAAGTTATTTAATGTCACTGGGATTCTGGAGGTCTTATGAAATTCACTTTTCAGAATTTTTTTCCTAGTTCTAAAATTAAATCCTCCTAAAAAATAAAAAGACATCCCTAAATATCTTGGCAGAGAATAGATCAGGTCTTATTTTACAGCTTTATATTTCTCAAGTAGGGTTAGCGTTAGAAAAAGGGCTGAATTTGATGGCATGGCTAGATAATACCGAATTCGGTGCTATTTAGAAGTTGATGATTTTACTCCTAAAACCTAAGGGGGTGACGCTTGCTATTGTCCAGTGCTGAGGGCAGTCCGGGATGTCCTGCTTTCTGCCGAAGCTGCCCCTTTCCTGATCCTGTCGAGGTCAGCGGTCCACCCCACCTGGGTGGCTTCATGCGCAGTCTCAGTGCCTACTATCTGTGACCTTTCAGGGACACTGTGGGAGGGAGACAGGAGGGTAGGAGTCAGTCTGACATCAGGGTGAGCATGGGGGCTCCCAGGGGCTCCTGCCAGAGCCCCCAATGGCACGACAATTTCTTTAACCGGGCTAGCCAAAGAAAGTGTGGTCTTTTCCAACTTGGGATGGAAAGCTGGTGATGCTGGACCTAACATGCTGACTTGGAGGGGCTACTTCAGCTCCTTGAGGGTCCATAGATAGAACTTAGATTATAAACCATTTCAAATGTGCTCAGAACGTGCCCCCTGTGCTCCCAGAGCAAATTTTTCTCACCACCCCAAACGCACCTCGGCTGTGGGAGCCGGTGCCTGCGGCGGGAGCTCCGAGGAAGGACTGCTTTCTTCTGGATCTAAAGGTCACCCATGACCCAGCGGAGCCTCCTCTCGCGCCCTTGAATGACACGGACAATACTGCCGCTGAAACACTTTTCTTATCAGCTGACTGCTCAGGGAGTGTTTATTTGGAAGCTCTAATGTCGTTATTGTTTTAAACGGCCCGGCCGACGCACGAGGACATTGGTCTTCAGTGTTGACCTTGAAAATGTGGTCTAGAGGAGGCCAAGGTGCTGGCTCGTCCTTTTATTTAAAAAAATATATTTTATTGAGTTTTTACAGAGAGGAAGGGAGAGAGATAGAGACTTAGAAACATCGATGAGAGAGAAACATCCATCAGCTGCCTCCTGCACACTCCCTACTGGGGATGTGCCCGCAACCCAGGTCATGCCCTTGACCGGAATTGAATCTGGGACCTTTCAGTCCGCAGGCCAACGCTCTATCCACTGAGCCAAACCGGTTTCGGCTGGTTCGTCCTTTTCACCCTGGTCTGCATGCTAATCCGAGCCAGCTCTTGCCAGCAGCTTTTCTGACCTGACACCACCTCCCCCCGCCCCGACGCTAGCTGCCCTGGGCATCGTCCTTCCTCATAAATGCCAAACACGTCCATGTTGGGGGTCTCCTCCCTCCAATGTAACCGTGTTTTCTCCAATTAGCTGCCATCTCAAATACTCCCCTCTCCAGCACGTGGCTCCTGTCAGCCCCAGCTTCCCTGTCCCTTCTGTCTGAACCCGGGTTTTCGTGTTTGCCTGCCTATTGGTAGCTCCTCTCAGGGTGGAGCTCCTGGGGAGCAGGGCTGTCTTCTTGTCCTCGTCCGCAGAGCCGTGCACGTTGCCTGGCACTTACGCGCTAAGTGAACTCGGAGAGTCCAAATGTCAGTGCTTTCACGTCGTGTTTTCTGCTGTGAACTGGAGCGAGGGCACCGCAGCTGCTCTTGACCTTGACAGCAGCTCACACAGCAGACCTAACTCACCCCGCTCCGTCTCCTCCGCCTTTACCGCTGCGCAAGCACCTGGCCCTTGCACACCGATTGCCCAGTGCATGGCGTTTTCCGGAGTAGAGGTGGAGGCCCTGGAGTTCACGTGTGCCCGCGCCTTTCAGCACCGCTTGCCTGCCTTCCTCCTCAGAACTTCCTCTGGCCTCTTTCCAGCAAGCTGTCAGGAAGTTATAGACTAAGCACTCTTTGGCAATTAGACTGGGCTTCAGTTGTTTTTTGAAAGATGAATTTAGAGGTAATTTTCCAATTACCAGCCGTCGTCAAATAAACGGAGACAAAAGACGGCTGGATCTCTCTCTTGGCAGGAACGGTCCTCGTGCCTGCAGGAGCTGGCCGTGGTGTCTTAGTGATGAATGCAGGGAATCAGCAGCTTAAAAACCAATTAGCTTTCCGCTTCTTTTGCTAACGTGGGGCCAGTGCTGGCTGCTCGGGGGTGGAGTTCGAACAGGGCCGGCGGGAAGTTGAGCTGGCAGAACTGATGAAAGGCCCGCTCCAAGGGCGTCCGTGTCTCAGCAATATCCAGACCTTCATCTTCATTAGATGGAACACTTCTGAGTCTGACCTGTCAGTGCAGGCATGAAGGGGTGATAGCTGTCGATGCCTGTTCTAGGTGCTGCCGCCTGAAGGTATCACGGGGCATTTTTCATGGGAGCCTTGATCCGCGGGTGGAAGTTTGCCTGTGCATTTGCTATCTGCTACAATGTCGCACTTACCCACACTCATATTTATAAGGCGATAATCGTGGTGTTTTTCTGCCATCGTTTGTGTGACATTTTGCTTTGTTAATGGTTGCACTTTGTCATGGGTCTGACAGGAGGGCCTGGGGGTCACCTTGGAGTGTTGTGTTGCATGGGCTCGGGGCCTGATTTGCAGCCTCGAAGGTCCAGACATTTAATTCTGTTAGGACTCTACTGTGGAACTCACCAAACTCAGAAGGCACGGTTGTATCAACCAAGGTGCCAATTTCTTAATTTACAGCAAAAATACTACCTTTCTGGGGAGACAGAATCCCAGCTCCACTGATGACCTCAGGAAAGCCTGACCTTTCTGAACCTCAGTTTCCTCATTTGTAAGGCAATCATCCAGGGAGGCAGTGAAGAACACACATGTGAACTGCTGGGCCCACGAAGAAACATTGAATGATTTTGTTAGGACAGCCAAGTGCAAAGGTGAAGAATATAGACTTTGGAGTCAGCGTGTGGATTCCAATCCCAGCTCCTGCCACATGAATAAGTGGCCCCCTATTTCTGAGATTCAGTGTCCTCATCTGCAAATCAAGACTGAATGCTCTCTAATTCGTGAACTTGTTGTTGTATTGAATGATAGGCCATATTGGAAAGCCCATGGCGTGGTGATCACGGCTCCTGGATGTAGTAAGGGCTCGAATGAATGGAAGCTGCCCTTATTATTAGGCATGTTCATGGCTGTGGTGTTTAGAAATAAGTAGTAATGGCTATTGTGGCACCACCAGCAACAAAAGCAAAACAGCCAAGAGGTGCACGTTGCTTAGTGAGCAGAAAATTGACCCAAGGGGTGGACTGTCCAGGGAATCATGCTGGTGCCATTCATGCTTTGGGCTGAATGATCCTCTTTTTTTTGGCGGCGGTGGGTGGGGGGCTCTCCTTTTCATGGCAGGGTACTTAGCAGCATCTCTGGCCTCCACCCACTAGATGCCAGTAGCACCACCCCGTTGTGACAATCCAAGATGGCTCTGATCGCACCCTGCTGGAGAAGGGCTGGTCCAGGGGACCCCTGCACCCAGACAACGGAGAAGCCCGCGAGCCCCCACAGCACGCCCGCACCTTAATAAACTCCCGCTGGCCAAGTGTTTCGCTTTGACTCTCCCTTTTCTGGGTTTAATCTAAGCTCTCGTTGTCCCTTCGATGACAAGTCTCAAGTGGCTATTACGAACCACGTGCCTGGAGGATAGTCTGTTGGAGAACAGGCTCAGCCTCTGTCTAGGAAACAGGCCACAGCCCTCCCCTCAGCCCCTCTGCTGCTCTCTCCTTGCTCCCATGGGTCAAGGCCACTGCGTCCGGAGCAGGACGCTTCTTGGTCCTGCAGTGACAAGCCTTGTCCGCGTGGAATGGCTTCTTCTGAGAGCTCAACATTTTCCCTGTGGGGACGCACACGTTACTTACTAGCATAATAACGGTCGGGACATGAGTTTACCACACGGGTCACAGATTTCTGTGCAAAATGGGGACCATGCTCTATCCCCCAACTGGTGCATGGAGACAGGTTAACTGAGCTTCTGCGGGTTGTTCCCTGGTCTCTCTCCTGTCCAATGTCAACCTTATTCCAAATCATAGACCAGGCCCCTTGATGTTTACCGCAAAGTGGTTTTTAAGGACAGAGCGTCACGTAATGCGTCGAAGCTTCGGTTTCCTGCCCTGTTATCCAGTGCCTGCGTCCGTCTGCATTACTGTCCATTTCGAATGCTCCTTGCCCGCGGAGCTAGTGCTTTGTAAATCTCCGCATCGTGACCAGAACAGTCGGTCCCGTTGTAATTTGGACTCATGTCGGGGAAGGCCTGGCCGAATGATTAAACGTTCAATTTATTTTCCAATTAAAGAAAGATATTTCATTACTTTCAAAGTGAGCAAGACCCGGGCTAGGCAACTATCTATGACTTTAATAAAAGTCTTTGGGGAACCATTAGGTACACAGACAAGCACGGCTGGGAGCTTCATTCTGGGAGCTCCATATTGAGCCCTCGTTGGAGCCCATGTAGGGTTCCCACCGAGAGCTAAGTGCTCACCAAGCCCCTCTCTGCCGAACGTGTTTGAAGCACGTGTGTGCTCACGCCGTGGCAACAGTTACCAGAAGTCGTGTTGACACTGTCAGTTTACTTAGCAGAGGCGCGCTTAAAAGATCCACAAAAGCAAACTTTAACCCGGCCTCTGTCAGAATTCCTAGTGGAGGCACAGAACCGACGAGGTGTGTTTGGCTCCCCACCCCTGTTTGACCTTTGAGAGCGATCACTCTACATTTCTCAGCGATGTCACGTTCAGATCATGCCACTTTTCACAGACGCTTCACATAATTTCATCTGGGACGTCCAGGTGTAACGGTGTCCTGTTTTAACTACTGATTTTTTATTGAAAAACAAAAACTATAAAAAATTTGCTGTGCGTTTGCCTGCAGTAGCTCCCTACCTTTTTCTCATCGAGTCGTTGCCGTGCGGTTGTGCCAAGCTCGCAGGCCTGGACAGACAGCAACAGACCTGGCCAGGCTCAGGGCCTGTCTCTCATGAGCTAGGTCAATTTCTTCAACATTCAGTTTCCTTATTTTTGAATAATCTTCCATTTTCCTACCTATCAGAGTTGTGAAGATTGAATTTGGGAAGCGAGGGGGTCTGACGACTAAAAGAAATACTTTATACAAACACCTGCCAACAGGGTCTCTTAGATCTGCAGAAGGACGGGGTTGGCATATCAGGGCTCTAAAAGGATCTTTCAGAGAGTGTGCAGAAAGGCAGCCATGGAGAAAGGTGGCAACGCCACAAGGGACAGTTCACAAGACGCGCTGCCATCTAGAGATAATGCCAGGCTGAAGGCAGGAGGTGCGGCGCCTGCTAAGGAGGGCACAGGCGGCCCAGCGACACTTGGTCTCTGGTTATGCCAGGAGGGCTGGGCAGGCAAGATGAGCAGATGGAGAAAGTAGATTGGTGGTTGCCTAGGGGGAAGTGGGAATGGGGAGTGAGTGCTAATGGGAAGGGGTTTCTTTAGGGGCTCATAAAATGTTCTAAAAGTGACTGGGATGATGGTTCCACAAATTTGTGAAAATATATGGATAACCGCTGAGTTCTATACTTATAAAGAATGAATGTTAGGGTGTGTTAATTGTGTCTCAACAAAGCTTATTAGAGAGAGAGAGAGAGAGAGAGAGAGAGAGAGAGAAAGAGAGAGAGGTTTATGCCTGAAAACACTTGAGGCAGGATTCTAAAAATATCATTATTTCTGTTAATAAAAATCCTGCTTCCAGAGACTGAGTTGCTGAAAGAATTGGGTTTAGGATCAAGAGACCTGGCTCCAGTGCTTGGGCAAGTCCCTCAGCCGCCCAGGGCCTCAGTTTCCTCATGTAAATGTTAGGGACTTCGATAAAATGACCCATGTGTTCCGTCCCAGCCCTGAAAGCCCTGCTGTTTCCAATCTGCCATTCCTGTCTGCTTTCTTCCCAAGCATCGCCCC